GCCACTCCACTCTGCCTGCTGGGGCGCCTTCAGGGCTGATCTGCCTTCCCTCAGAGGGAGCAGGCAGAAGCCAGAGCAGAGGGATTGAGGGAGGGAAGCTGAGCTATAACCGAGTCCCTTCCACAGGCCTCCTCTCCAAAAGCTCACTTCCTCCCAAACACCCACCTCGTGAAGAAGGTGCACCCCACTTCTCAGACGGGAAAGTGACTCACCCACTTTCACCGAGTGGTGGGATCGAAACCCAGGCCAGCTGACTCCAAGGACAGTTTGCGCCCCGTGTGAATGCTTCCCAGGGAGCAGTGGCTCAGAAGGTCTCAGTGATGTGGTCAGCATCGGAGGAGACAGAGGGCATATGTTGCACTGCTACAATAAGAAGAGAGGCTCTGCACCTCACAGGAGGCTGTCTCATTCAGAAAGAATCTCACCAGCTCCTCATGACTTTGCAAGGCAGGCATGTTACCACCCCATCCTACAGATGAGAAAACTGAGGCTTAGCAAGGTGGAGTGACTTCTCCCTAGGTCTCACAGCAAATGATGAGGCTGAGGCAAGACTCTTCCCATCTCGTCCCTAGATCACTGAATTCCAGAGGTCCTACCCAGGGGAGCCCTTGTCCCAGGGACACTTTGGCAAAACTTGATACCTTGGGACATAACCTGAGACACACCTAGGTTCCACCCGTAGCTGTGTGACCTGTGCAAGCCTCCCGCTCTCTCTGAGCCCCTGGGTATCAGTTATCTCTTGCTGCCTAACAAACCACGTCAACATCTAGTGGCTTAAAACAGCCATGTATTTAGCCCGTGATTCTGCCGCTAAAGAAGCTGGGCTCATCAGGGGGTTCTGGCCCTGGCAGGGCTCCCTCGTGTGTCCGCAGTCAGCTGTAGGTTCACTGGGTGGTTTTGCTTTGGGGGCTTAGCTGGCTGTTGGGGCGGGAGAGCAGGGGTCGCAGGGTCATATGCCACTCACCACCCAGCAAATTAGCTTGGGCTTGTTCACAGGGCAATAGCAGGGTTCCTGGAGGGTGAGGAGAAGCGCCCATGGCCTTCTGTTATGGGCTGAATTTTATTTTCCCAAAAAAGCATGTTGTGCTGGGCGCAGTGGCTCATACCTGTAATCCCAGCATTTTGGGAGGCCAAAGTGGGTGGATTGCTTGAGGTCAGGAGTTCAAGACCAGTCAGACCAACATGATGAAACCCTGTCTCTACTAAAAATAATTTTTAAAAATTAGCCAGGTGTGGTGGCACATGCCTGTAATCTCAGCTACTCAGGAGGCCGAGGCAGGAGAATCGCTTGAACCCAGGAGATGGAGGTTGCAGTGAACCGAGATGGTGCTGTTGCACTCCAGCCTGGGCCACAGAGTGAGACTACATCTCAAAAAAAAAAACCATGTTGAAGTCCTAACCCCCAGCATCTCAGGATGTGACCTTATTAAGATGAGCCCATTAGGGTGGGTCTTAATCCCAACATGACTAGAGTTATCCACTGTATCGTGTCACTGCACTGCAAAATTTGTATCCCCAGAATATCAGAATATGACTGTATTTAGAATAAGGTCCTTAAAGAGGTGATGAAGTTAAAATGAAGCCATTCAGATGGGCCACAATCCAATCTGACTGCTGTCCTTCTAAGAAGAGAGGATTAGGACACCCAGAGAGACATTAAGGACCTGAAAGAATGAACTGACAGCCACGTGCAGAGGTGGCAAGAGGGCGGCTGTGTGCAAGCCCAGGAGAGAGGCCCAGGAGAAACCAACACTGCCCACACCTTGATCTTGGACTAACAGTCTCCGGAACTGTGGGAGAAAACATTTCTGGGTTAAGCCCCCAGTCTGTGGCACGTGTTTTGGCAGCCCCAGCAAATGAACACAGCTGGTATCCTGATAAAAAGAGGGAATTTAGACACAGATGTGGCCCAGGGGAGATGAGGTGATGACACTGGGACAAAAATGCCACATGAGGATGGAGAATAGGTCAGTGTGCCCACAAGCCAGGGAGGGCCAGCAGAGTGTCAGGAACTACAAAGAAGCAAGGAGGGAATCCCGCCCGGTCAGGTTTCAGATGGACCTGGAACCTATCTGTGCCTTGATTTCAGAATCTGGCATCCAGGACTGTGAGACAAGACATTTCTGTTGTTTAAGTCACCTGGTTATGGTCTATAGTTATGGCAGCCTTCGGGAACTAGCAGCCTCCCCAGGCCTGGCATCAGCACTGCCACAACATCACTTCAGCCGCCCTCGGCTGTCAAGGTGAGTCCTGGGTCACCCCAGGTTCAGATGGTGGAGGAATAGGCTCTACCTCTTAATGGGAGGAAATTTGAAATGATGGTGCAAAGGCATGGGGAGACAGAGGGGAATTTGTGCAATCAACCACTCATCATTACTTCATCCATCAGAAGGGACCACGGATGCGCCTAACCCAGTATCGCGGTGAGGATTCGATACAGCAGTGCTGAAAAGCAGTTGGCACAGAGCAAAGGCTCCATGAAAGCAAGTGATGATTTGGCAACATAGCTATTTTTGAGGGCAGGGTCCTTGTTCACATTTGACCTCCAGTGTTAACACAGTGCCTGCCGTGGAACAGTGGCTCGGGAAGAGTCTTATGAATTCCAGCCAGTTTGGTACTAAGAGTCCCTGCCTGCCTGCAAGGGCCCACCCAGTGCCCCCTCATATCTGAAGGTGCCCACTTCACCCTGTAAAAGCCACCACTGAAGCCAAAAACCTTGTTCCATGGCAGTGACTGCAAAGAACGTACAGTCCTGTTAACCACTCCGAGCTCACTCATCCTGGGAGGATGCCTCTTGGGCACATGTTCCTGTCTCCTGGTCCAGACAGAGGCAGTGATCCACAGAGAAGAGGGCACAGCCACCTCCCACTCTGAGCCAGGCAGAGCCAGCTGGGAGAAGGTTGACGCCTCCTCTGCTCCACCCTCCTCCCCGAGCTGTCACTGATGTATGGGCGGGTCACAGGTGTGCAAGCTCTCGGCAGCGTCCTTCTTGCCCCAATTACTCCAAATGCTGAAGACTTTTGAGTAGTGAAAGATCGCAAGCTCAGACCACAAGACAGATAATCAAACCTTTTTTTTTTTTTTTTTTACAAAAAGGAAGAAGGCAGGGGTTGAGGGGGAGGAAGGACACATATGCTCACATTTGACAACCCCAAAATGCAATTTACGAAACAAAAATCTGGTGTCACGTTCAACTAAATTAACAATTTGTAGATAATTCACAATGCTCATACCATTAAGCAAATGCACTTTAAATTGATTTCAAATTAGCAGGCTAATGATTCCCCCCAGGTCCAGTCTCCGCAGCCCCCAGTGCAGCATTTTTAATAAGAGGTAGGTGCACTGTAGCGGCCTCTTTATTCCATAATTGAAGCCATAATTGAACCTGAGGTCATAGCCAAGGGCCCTATCGATCTGCATAGAGAGGGAAAGTGCTGACAGTGACCGTCACTAGGCCAGAGGGGCTGGTGGGCACGGGGAGGCCCCTGCAGCTGTGCTGCATTTTGAGCTTATTTCCTGTGTGACCTGCAGGTGGCCTTGATGGCTAACGGAGCAATTAAATAACCTTGAGACAGGCAGAGCTCTGATTCCCTGTCCTGCAGATTGTACTCAGAACTGCCCTAAAAGCATGTCAAAGATCTACGTGATCCTCTAATATTCCCAGGGCCCTAGAATGAACTCTCTGTACCTTCCCTTTGCTCACCAATGCCTGCCTGGACTCTAAGTCTCCAGGACAAGGAAATCCAAGCCAAAGTCCACCATGAATGTATACTACGCGCCCTCCTCATCCTAAGTTTGGAGTCCTTTAACCTTCAGCCCAGCCAAAAGCTCTCCTGACCCCAACTCAGAAAGGCAGGGTGAAAGTTCTGTGGTCCTGATGGCATAGCCCTGATTGCTCCCATCTCTCAAAGCATAAAACATGACCCATCTCTACTGCTGCCTCTACAAGGGCTGCAAAAATCTTTGGCTCCATCTGAGGAGGACACAGGAGGTTCATTTTATTCTGCACCAGCTACTTGGGCTGTTCTGGATCAAGAGCTCTTTTCTCCAAAGAGTATAGCAAAGAAGAGGAAGTGGGAGGAGAAGAAGACAGGGAGAAAGAGAGGTCCAGAGATAAGGAGCAAGGAGGATGACAGAGACTTAGTGTTCAAAAGGACAGAGAGTGGCTGGGCAGGATGGCTCATACCTATAATCCCAGCACTTTGGGAGGCTGAAGCAGGAGGACCATTTGAGCCCAGGAGTTCAAGGCTGCAGTGAGCTATCATTGCATACCTGCACTCCAGCCTGGGTAACAGAGAAAGATTTCATCTAAAAAAAAAAAAAAAACATTAAAAAAAAAAAAAACAGGACAGAGACAGAGACATGCAGAGAAAGAGACAGAGAAATATAGACAGAAATAGCAGAGAGAGAAAGAGAGAGACAAAGACAGAGAGACAGGGAGGCAGAAACAGACAGGCAGAGATACAGACAGAGAGAAACAGAAACACACACACAGAGATTGATTTTACAGAGGAGTCAGTGTGTGATTAGAAATCTCATGACCCCAGCATCAGAGAGGACAGCAGCAGGATAAGGTGAACTCAGCACTGGGTGCTCTAATGAACAGATCAATGTTTAGGACAGTCCATAAAGTACTCCATGTATGCTCCTGAGATTGTTGAGCTGTCTATGAAACAGTCCCAGTTTGACCCTAAAGTTATATAAACACTATACATACGCTGGCAGTAGATATGTTGCCCCCAAATCTCATAGAATCAAAGGAAAAGGTGAGAAGCAAGAACAAAGGGGGAGCTTGCTCTTTTCCCCTAATTGCCCACTTCTGTTTTTGGAGCAGAGAGCTCCTTGCAGAATTTATTTCTGAGACAGGGTCTCACTCTGTTGTCCAGGCTGGAGTGCAGTGGCATGGTCTTGGCTCACTGCAGTCTTGACCTCCCCAGCTCAAGTGATTCTCCCACCTCAGTCTCCTTTGTAGCTAGGACCACATCCCACTAGTTTTTTTGTTTGAGATTCATATTTTATTTACAAGTAAATGAAGACTGTGCCTATAAACTCTATTTGGGATATGAAGAACAATATGAAGAAGTCATTGCTGGCACCACAGTGACATGTGAAGGAGTCTATGTCACTGTTTCTTTAAACAATGATTTTATTATTTTAAAAAACCCACCTACATGATTTCTTCATGCTGCATGTGTAAAGTAATCAAAAATAAAAGTGACTTTTCAAAACTCTACAATCTCTGATCAACTGTGTGGGGTGGCCAGGATGTGACTTTCACTAAGTGACAGCCCCTACTCTTCAACAGCACCAGCCTCTGGGCAAAAGACTTAATACTCATCCAGAGTATCTGCTCGAGGAATAGAAAGACCTCGGTCCTTCAGGGCCTGCACTTTCAGCTTCTCTGCTTCCAGCTTGGTCTGCTGATCCATCCTTTGCTCTTCTACAATTTCTTCAATGGATACTTGCTGGAAGGGTGTGTCACTCTCCTTTTCCAAGTCTAAATTGATCAATGCTTCTTTAAAAGCCTATAAGTGTCCTCCCATCTCAAAGAAGGACCAAATGTTTCTTGTCAATGTCCTCGATGAGGCTATCAGTGCCAGGCATATCGTTCATTTTGAGCTGAAATAAAGCTGCAGTACACAGCGGCGGGGGACCAGCGTGTCCAAAACATCCTCCCTCCTACTGAAGTCACTGCCTTGGTGGGACCAAGCCCAGAATCCTGAGTGGGATGAGCACTTCTGCCCTGGATTTCAGCCACTGGGGCTTCCCCACAATTTTTTTTTATTTATTGTAAAGATGGGAGTCTTCCTATGTTGCCCAGGCTGGTCTTGAACTCCTGGTCTCAAGCAATCCTCCAGCCTCTCAAAGTACTGGGATTACAGGCATGAGCCATTACACCCAGGCTCCTTGCAGATTTTTAATTGGCCTTTACCTATCTGGAGCCCTAGGACTCATCCAGGGTACTTGGGGTGAAGACCACACTCCTGATTCTCCTTGGCTGGAGTCTTCTCTCAGGCATGTTCTAGCCTGATGTGTGGAGGAAAAGAAGGAGGTGATTTTTTCTTAACTCTGCACCATCTCATTCAGATCCCATTACAGGAGTCAGTCGTGGTGATGGCCAAAGAGAAGAAAGATGTGTGAGAAGAATGGTTTCTAGGGAGGGATTAATAGGGAATGGTCATCTAATCAATATTGATCAATAGAGTACCCTAGAAAACTCTAAAGCCACAACTATTTAAACAGAGCCTCTCCCTAGAACATCTCCATTGATCAAGATAACACAGAAAAGGTACAATCAGGAAGGATAAATTAATTTTTTTTCAAGCAATGTTTGTAGACTGATACAACCACTTTGAAAACATAGGTATATACCACGACTCAGCAGTTTCACTCCTGGGTATGTATTCAACAAAACCGAGTGCTTTGTTTCATCAAAAGACATGCACAAAAGTATTCAAAGCTTTATTCATAATAGACTCAAACTGGGAACAACCCAAATATTTATCAACAGTAGAATGGATAGATAAAAATGTGGTTTATTCACACAACAGTATTAAACAGCAACAAAAAGAATAAAAGAATGAACTGCTTTATACACAGCAACATAGATGAATCTGAAGACATGATGTTGAGTGAAAGAAGTCAAACCTAGAAGGGCGCCTATGGAATAATCCCATTTACATGAAGTTTGAGAACAGGAAAAACTGATCTATGGTGACAGATAGAAGAAAAGTAGTTACCTTTGGTGGAAATTGCTGCCTGTTAGGTGGCACAGGGCAGGAGCAGGCTGGAAATGTTATGTGTTTGTATCTGGATGGTGGTTACACACACACACATGCACACATTCTTTAAGCTGTGCACTTAACATTTGTGTCCTTTATATGTTATATCTCAAAATTTTCAGCAATGTTTTTCAGGGGGAGTCTCACTCTGCCACCCAGGCTGGAGTGCAGTGGCACAATCTCCCCCTCCTGGGTTCAAGGGATTCTCCTACCTCAGCCTCCCTCCCGAGTAGCTGGGACTACAGGTGTGCACCACCAGGCCCGGCTACTTTTATACTCTTACTGGATGCAGGGTTTCACCATGTTGACCAGGCTGGTCTTGAAATCCTGGTTTCAGGTGGTCCAACCCATCTCAGCCTCCCAAAGTGCTGGGATTACAGGTGTGAGCCACCCACCATGACTGATCAATAAATGTTTTTAAATGGTCACCCTGTCATTCCAAAATCCAAGTTATTATCTGTCATTTACTTCTTGTGGGCCACAAGATTTACAGAGATTATTCCTTATTTTCCATCTTGAGGCAAATGGAAACGTATCTGCCCGTTGGACACATGGATTCCTGCCGAGGTGCCATCGCAGACTAGGCAACCTAAGGCTGGACTGGCAGGTGTCATACTAAGTGGAGGTGGTGAACCGAGATCTGTGGCCCCTCTGCCCTTTCTCCTGGCATTATTGATGGGTTCACAACACCTGAGGCTGGACACACCTCGTGGAGCTGCCAAAAGGGCTTGGAATCCCATAGTCCCTCTCCCTGGAGCAGAACAGGATGGCTGCAGTAGCAGCGCCTGGATGAACTTCAAGAGATTGCAAACGAGCCTTGTGATTTCCTGCAGCTATCATTGCAGCATGACCCAGCAATGGCAGGGCACAGTGACCACACTGCGGACAGCTCCATGAGAGGTAGAAGGGAGGGCGTTCCAGCACCTCGGACAGAGGTGACCCCCTCCCAAAGCCCAGGTACCCGGCTGATTCTATTGTTTCAGCACCAGCACCAGGGACAGAGACCCACACATTTAAATGGAGATGGAAATAGACTGGGTTGGGGAGACGGAAAAAAAAAAACATATTTGAGGAGAGCAGTCTGCCCACGGTTTGCTATTTACACACAACGCTACTGCTTCCAGCTTTGTATAACAAATTAAATTCTGACAGCATTAAAAATGTATGTGTGATGAGAAGATTGGTTTGGAAAACACCCCGCATTTACCTCCCTTCTACTGCCACCTCCTTCTTCCAATCCAGGTGCTTCCCAAGGGACCTGCACTTAAGTGAATGCCCAGGTAAATGGGGTTTCTCATAGTTAGAGTTGCCAGTGCATCATATGGGTAAAAGAACAGAACCACTGTGACCCACCTTATTTTCTGAAACATGGACACAAAAAGTCTTTCCTAAGAGGGTGAAGAAAAGCTACTTTAAAATCTTTCCTTTAAAATGGTGCCACCATCAATTAATTAATTCATTCAACTACTATTTGCTTAAATCCTACTGTGCAGTAAGAGCTGGAATTATAAAAAAGAACCCAATAAATCCTCTGCTCTAAGGGAGTTTACATTCTAGTGGGAGGGGAAGGCAATGAACAATGAACATATCCATAACTAGGAAAGTTTCAGTTTGTTCTACGTGCTGTGAAGAAAATAAGCAGAGTGATGGGCTCTATAGTGCTTGAGCGAGAATTACTTTAGCTAGGATGATAGCGGAAGACCTCTTTGAGGAGGTGATGTTTGCCTTGACTTGAACAATGAGAAGGAGCTGGACTTGTGAAGATCTAGCAGGAATGCATCCCTCAAAAGGTGCAGAACTGCAGAGGTGCTGAGATGGAAAGAAATGTGGTGTCAGAAGATAGGAAGGGCCAGGCATGGTGGCTCAAACCTGTAATCTCAGCACTTTGGGAGGCTGAGGTGGGAGAATTGTTTGAGCCCAGGAGATTGAGATCCACCTGGGCAATATAGGGAAACCACATTTCCACCAAAAATAAACAAAATTAGCTGGGTGTGGTGGTGCACACCTGCAGTTTCAGCTACTCAGAAGGCTGAGGTGGGAGGGTTGCTTGAGCCTGGGAGGTTGAGGCTCCAGTGAGCTGTGATTGTGCCACTGCACTCCAGCCTGGGCAACAGAGCAAGATCTTGTTAAAAAAAAAAAAAAATGGGAAGGAGGTCAGTATGGATGAAATGTACTGAGCGAAAGGAATATGGGGGAAATAAAATTGGAGATGTGGGAGGGGACATTGTAGGTCATGTAAGGTGTTTGGATCTTAAGCATGGGGGTGATATGACCTGATTAATGTTTATAATGAAAATAAACCATTCCAGCAATTTAAAAACTTTGACTGGGGCCTGGCGTGCTGAGGAATTTGGTCAAACGTCAGTCTTGGTGCTTCTGAATGAGATTAATATTTGAATCAGTAGACTGAGTATAGCAGATGGCCCTCCTTAATGGGGATGAACCCCAGAGGTGTCCCCCTCCCAAAACCCAGGTGCCCGCCTGAATCTATTGTGTTCAGCACCAGGGACAGAGACTCACACATTAAATGGATCTGGAAATAGACTGGGTTGGCAAAAAAAATAAAATAAAATCAAAAATCAAAAATCTAAATAGAACAAAAAGGCTGCCCTTCCTACAAATAGGAGGAAGTTCCTCCTGCCTGACTGCCTTCCAACTGGAACCTAAGTTCTTTCTTCCATTTGGATTTGAACTGAAATGGCTCCTTCTAGGTATAGAGCCTACCAGCCCTCAGGTTGGAACTATACCATTGGCTCTCCTGGTTCTCAGGTCTTTGGACTTGAACTGGAACTACACCATCAGCTCTCCTGAATCTCCAGCTTGCTAACTGTAAATCTTGGGACTAGTCGGCCTCCATAATCACATGGATGAATTCCTTAAAACAAATAAATAAATACACACACACACACACACACACACACACACACACAAACCAAAGATATGTATGTACATCTCCTATTGGTTCCATTTCTCTGGAGAACCCTGACTAATACAACTGCTCTGTGGAGAAGTGGCTGGGAGGTGGGAGGGGAGCCTGGGAGACCAGTTTAGGCCCTTACAGTGCTCCACTGCGATTATGGTGATGATAACCTCTCCTTGTCTCCCACCAGGAGGGATTTTATCTCCAAAATTAAGAATGCACTTTCCCAAGTCAACCATGCTCCTTTCCTCTGGTGTCTCTCGTGACACCAGATATAATGAGATGTGAGATGTGGTGAGAGAAGGTGAGCAGGGTCACATAGATGGTGTATATATTTATTGTTGGAAGGATGAATGGATAGTACCTTTGGAACTACCTGGCTCATCTAGAAATAGAGTCTATTACCACTTCTATGCTGGTTCTTCTCAAACCCTTTTAATTCATGGGCTACCAGTTGGAGAGGGAGGGCTTGCAGAGTGCTTAATCTACCCTTATAATCTGAGAAACAAACTTCACCACAGCCAGGGAAGTCTGGGCTCACACTGATGGGAGGCCAACAGGGAGACAATACACTATCAATTATGCAGTGAACAAAAGCATCAACATATAAGATAATTAAAGTATTAATAAAACAGGGACATCACTTCCCAGACCACCCAGAGGACCCAAAGTGACCATCAGTGCATGGTGGACAAGCCCATGCTCCACTCAACTAGACTCAATGACGTAGGGCGGGTGAGCCCCCAAATTGGGGCTTAGCCCAGGAGAGTTGTTGGCTTTGCCCAGGGAAGAATTAAAGGTCAGGCTGGTGGTGTTGGACAGCAACTTTTATTGAAGCAGCTGTGTCCAGCAAAAGCAGAGGCACTGCTCCTTGCAGAGCAGGGCTACCCCAGAGGCCCTGTGCCCACAGT